CCGTTTTAAAAAGGCGCGTACTTTTGCATATTTTGATATGTCGACAGAGTTTTTAATAGTTATTGTACTCCGCAGCATGGAGTACTGGGACCATAATGTAGAAGGTTTTAATTTTCTTGACAACTCTTCGAAGTACACGAGCAAGGTATTTTCAGAAAATGAATTAACTTTCTCTTTTATTCTCCAGTCCATGAAATTCCTGTAAGCGATTTCGTACTTTTCTCTTGAAATGCTTGGTAACAAATTATTGCAAACATCAGATGCTTTCTCCACAATATTTGGGGGAGTACTTTCAATTTCAAAATCTTCATCGTATTCCATTATGATTAACACAAATAATGAGAACTGCTTTTAGTAGGTATGAAATATTTTTTTTCTACTTGCGTGCGCAAAGTTATTACTTTGCGCACTCATTTGCGTGCGCAAAGTTGAACTTTGCGCACGGAAACTCTTTGCGCACTCATTTTTGTTACGCATAGTAACCGCATTTATACTCGATTTTTCAATGTTTTGTGGGTTTTTGGATAAACCTATATTCAGAAATAAGGGCCTGATGTTATTTTTGTTCCAAGAAAAGCATTCAGGTTATGTTTAGTTTTTTTAATTTGACACTTTCTGTATTAAGGAGTGAGCGGAGGAAAAATCCAGCAAAAATAGATGTGAAGTCAGGTGACCGTTATTGGCATGGGGATTCACCAACTCACATTCCTTTAGAGTATTAGATTATAAAAGTCGGACTGTAAGTTATACTCCTCCACATACTCCCCAACTTAATGGTTCTACGGAAGAATGAATCAGACACCAATAGACAAAGCAAGATCTATGATAATGCAAGCAAAAATGGATAATATATTTTGGGAAGATGCTGTACTTGTGGCTACTTAAAACTAATTTAACAAGTCACACGAAAAAATATCATCCTGGCAAATTAAGTCTCAATTTGGCAGGAAAAACAAACCTAACGACTTGTTCAAATTTTAAGTAAACCTCGCTAGCACAACCAATGTTGCAATAAAGTCAAGCTGGCTGATCACTGAAAAAAAAAAAGTGAAAACACAACACATAGAACTAGGAGAAAAAATTTCTAGTTTTGAGCTTCTGGAAACATTTAAGAAGATTAGGTACAGCTCTTCTCTGGATGCTATGCAAATCTTCGAACACTCGTAGAAAAAGTATTGTTCCTAACACTTGCGCAAAGTGTCTTTCCCGCACTCAAAGCTTATCCGAACTCCGCTTCGCGTCGTTCGTCTAACTGCTTTTTCGTGCGGGAAAGTATCACTTTGCGCACTTGTTAGGAAAATAACTATTTAAAAATATTAATTATATTAACGCTTGGAAAGTTGACAACAATAATTGTGTTTGTATCAATGGTTTGTATCATAGAGAAATATAATAGTAGTAAACTACGAGAGAAGTCATTCCCCTGTACTTAACTGGCACAATGTCGACGTTAGCGCCCCTGGTGGCTACGGACAGCAATAAAAGAGTTAACATTGTTTGAATGCAGGTTTCTTCTTCACCGACAGTGAAAAGGCGGCTTTTTTGAATAATTAAATTATTAACTTTGATTTTATTTAAGATTTATTAAAAATAAAGTACTGTAAACGCTCAAAACAGTTAATTGCAAAGCAAAACATTTGTTGAAAAAACTTGCTAAAATTTACCGAGCAACTGTTTAGAACGATAACAGAACTTATTTTTAAAAAATCCAAATAAGATGCAATGAAATTCCTTAAGGGGGTCAAGGAGGTAATTGAACAATACAAAAATTGAGATATCTTCAAACAAACTTATTTTTTTATTCCAATTTTATAAATATACAGTAACTAAAAATGTTTGTATTATAAGCTTTGTGTTTACCTTTTTACTGCATCTCGCATCATCGAAAATTCGAAAACACACTATTATTGGTGTCGGTTTTGTCTAATTAATTATTATTTATGATCACAGAATGTTTTCACATTTCTCTAATATAAATAATAGAAGAAATTTTACGTTATGATTGTGAGCATTCAGTTTTTGATTGATGGTCTTTGGATTCAATCATTTGTCAAATTTTGTATTTTGTATGTGTTAAAAAAAGGTAGAACATTTCCAGGCAAGTTGCTGACAAAGACAAATTAAACCGAGTTGTCAGAAACGATCGAAGTAATTAGTTCAATAATCTGCCACACCATGCGAAATACGCTACGGGTATGTGCATAAACACACTTCCACATTGTTACATTAAACAAACGTCTCTCGTAGTTTACTACTATTATATTTCTCTATGGTTTGTATTGTGCATATGTTACCATGGAAACGGCGATTATATGTTTTTATGTTCTACCGCGACTATCATTCCGTCGCGATGTAAACACATGGAAAACCGGCGGAGAACCAGTGAGAAATTATTTCTCACGGCAATGGCCGACTTTTCTCACTGCGTGATAAATTCTTCGTTTTGAATGTATATAAGTAGTGAGAGAAGTGGTACATTGTGTAGCATCCATAGAAAAAAATAATTCGTTTGTCAAAAATATTTCGTGGGGTTATGTTCCGAAATCATAATGACCCGTTTTCAAGTGTATGTACAGAACTACTCCGTTCGTACTTACTCTGTTCGGTTATTGGGTTATTGATTTCGGTGCAAGTTCTAGTGAACCCCGGGTCGATCATTGGTTCGATAGCCTTTTGAGATTTTCATTATCCCCGCTTTCGGTTTTTTGACTTTTGATTGTCAATAATTTCTTTCAACCGGTGGTCGATTAGTAATGTTTTTTTTATCGTCGATTCTTCTTTAAGCCCTCTAATTTTGCAAACGGATCACTTACTCTATGTTGTATTCTTCAAGTTTTGATTGTTTTATGGGATAATTATTTGTTGTTAATATCATTATTCGTCAGCCGTTGCCATTTTTCTCGGTTTGTATTGTTGTGTGCAATTTTTGGTAAGTAAAAATTCTATCGATTAATTTTTGATGTTTGTGAATTCCTCCCTTTAGGTTAGCCTATTAATCGAATGTGTAGCACATTTTTTTTTCACATCTGTACGTTGGAGAAATAAGGTCTCTTGGAAGATTGTCTTCGCCCTTGTGGGATTTTGACCTTATATTCTCAATTGAAGCTATAACACATTTAGTTGCCTTTTTGCCTTACGTTTTCGTAGTGTTATAATTTTCGCCGATTAATTCGGATGTTTAGAACTCCATGTCATGTGTTGAAAGCTGCCCTAAAGAGTAGAGAATAATCTCACTCACTCCAGGATATTCAATCCAGACCTCGATCCAGATTTCCAGCGATTTTCGAGGCAAACAAACCCTATTTCCAACAGGGTTTTTTCTTCTTCAAGTTTTCCCTCACGGTTACAACAATAGACGTTCAATCGTAACCGAAATTGAACTAAAAGGCTATCAGACACCAGCCTAAGTAATTGGACGGTTACTCAGGTCTTCAATCAACTTAACCACAACCAGTAGCCAGGACTAATCTGTTAATTGTATGAACCACCATCACCTGGAACATTTTGGTATCGTACTAGCTGTAGTTAACCTATATACTATTATTGTTTATTTACATTCTGTCCCTATTTGTACACCACAGTGATCACTTTCGGTATTTCAGGGAGTAATTCATTGCTTGTCCCACTGTGGCTAAAGAATTATCAAATAGGTAACTTAGCTAGATATAACCTGATGAATTTACGTCAACCTACTGGTAGTTCTGGTTACATAAGTGTAAGATAACCGCTCCAACAACTTATTATTCATTTATTTTTTTTTATGTCATACCAATACATTATTGTGTTTTTATACCTTAGATACCATCTACATAATTCATTACTTTATGCCCGTGCGGGCATAAAGTACACATTATGGCCCGCGCAGACATAAAGACGCAAAAAACAGTTTTCAATTAACTGATTCTTTATTAACAAAATATAAATTTACGCTTATAAACATATTATTTTTGTCAAAAAATGATGATGTTTGCATACTGTTGACAATTTGCGATGTGACACTTTTTTCGCAGGTATTTATTATTCAAAACCAACTGGTATGACATAAAACTTTGTATGCACCACGGGTAGGTACTAATAGATAAATATACCCTCGGGCGACTTACGAACCCTCGGGCCAGAGGCCCTCGGCTTTGTAAGACTGTCGCCCTCAGGGCATAATCATCTACTTAGTACCCTTGATACATAAATAACTATTATTTCTCTTCAATTTATATTTACAACTTTTCTATTTATACCTTTTTTTTATTATTCATTTGGTTATTGAGTTTCAATAACATTTTTGCATTTAAATTTAATTGTTCATGACTATAGCAACTACTTCAAAAGTGTAGCATTTCTGTATTTGTTAGTTGACGCTTCATTACAAGGTAATTTTATTAATTGAATTGATGACAATTCATTTTATTAAATAGCAAATTAGTAAATAGTTTTCACACTTTGGTAATATTGCTAATTTACTTGATTATTCTTTTTTTATTAAAATTATTGTTCATTGTGGACTGCGGCCATTTGGTAAATAAACAACTGTAGCACTTGATCTCTTGACTTTTATTTGGTTTTATACACTCTTTTTCCTAATTATTGTTTGAATTGTAAGGACCTGAAGCCAGATACCATCCTGGAGAGTCCGACTCATCTGTTCAGAGTCGGTGGCGCCCAAAACTAAAACCCACCCCTACTCTCCGAATTATTTAGTTCTGAGCTAGGGCATAATTTGCACGCACTTCGACCTTCAGTCCTACAATCTCAAGTTCTCCATTCATTTTTTTTTATTTTTTTTATTTTTATTTTATTTTTTTTATTTTTTTTTTATTATTTTTTTTTTTAATAAACTTTTTAATCAGCGAAAAAGCGTGGCAGGGCATCTCACACAAGAAAAAAAATTGAATAATTAGTTTACGTGCATTTACTCTCATGTTTAAAAAATATCTCTTGTTCTTGATTTGTTTATACCTGAGTAAGGCACAAACGAGTACCGAGATATATGCAAAGTACAAAGGTAGAATTGTGTTTCTTTATTACGAAAAAAACCCCATAATCTTTTACAAGTAGAACACTCAAATTTATATAAGGTTGCAATCTACACATTTATTATAACCAATAAGTATTGTGGATTTTGTCAGCCTGCAGTTTATTTAATTTGCATAATTAAATTATAAAAATGTACAAACATTACCAAGTCATAGTTGAACAATACACTTAAAAACCTAACTATAAGAATTTCAAATAAACAAAAAAATTATTCTATCCTAATCTAGTCGCCGCAGGAGTTCCTTGAGAATTTGGCGGATTAAACGTTATCCTTGGAACGAATCCAGATTCACCATCGACAGTGTACTCCACGTTCATCAGTCTTCCGTCCGGCAGAAGTACGTAGTAACTGCCAACAACTCTTCCTTGAGCATCGCCCGTCTCACTTTGCCCAAAAAGTGTTCCAGAGGGTGGACTATCGACTTTGTATTGGAAATCATACTGAAATAAAAATATTGTCAACGTTTATAAAAAAGAATCAAAGAGGGCGATATTTAGACAGCGACTTCTTTTCTAGCTTTCTAAAATACAGGGTGTTCCAGAATTGACTACAAATATTTCAACACGCGAAGTGAAAATATAATATCTACAGTTTGAACTAAAGGAGTCTGTCCTAATTTTTTTTGAGGAAAAAGCCAATGACATCAAAGTATAAGATGATCATTCGCAACGACATGTTTTATTGTAATTTTGTGTTGATGTTTTATCTTTGTTGTTGATTTACATTTTTCATAATGACCACTAGCTGCTAATGCCAAATTTTTCTCTGGCCTCGTTCTATCAAAATCAAAGTTAGACAATGACTTTGGTTCATCATATTCTGCTTTCTACGAGCGGACAGCAAGTCCAGAAAGCCCTGCCACATTTTGAAGTGCTTGAAGGTACCTTAGGGCATATTATTGCCCTAAAATGATAATTTTGAGAGAAGATGTCGATGTGTTGGTAAGTCTTCCTGCCGTTTTTATCTGGTTAGCATAATTTTTATTCCACTCGGCCATGTTTTTATTGCGAAAGCGCAACATGCTTGATATTTGACTTTTTTATCTTGAATACTCTTTTATTTTTCCAGCTGCCGATTTTGTCTGCAACCACCTGTGGTGATAATAAAGGCCATATTTTCCATAAAATGACGAGACCCTTGTGAAGCAAGGTTAGTCGGGTAAGTATTCCATAATCAGGTTATCAGTTTTATAGATAAAGATAAGTTTAAAATGCCAACTCATTTGTCCCTTTTCTCTGCCCAGGGTATCACGTCCGAGCCTATTTTTGGTTCTTCCGATTCTGGTAAATTCAAAAGGTGCTCGTGCTTCTGAGGCTACCTTTTTGCTTCTTGATGCCTCGAAATTAATTGCCCCGATAAATACATTGGTGCGGATAAACCGACACCACAGTGCTCGACCGACGCGTCTGTTCCGGAATACCTACTTATTCAGAAGTTCATTCCTATTTTGTGCCCTGAATAAACAAGAATTCACGAGAAGAAAACTTCGAATTTAAAACGCGTACCTATAGTTGGTATAAGTTTCAGTCAATTTTTAAATAGATAACAAACTCTTATACATAGGGAAAATGAGATAGTAATCTTCACAGATGCCGCAAAAACAAAAACTGGAACTGGAGCCGGAGCATACTCAGAAGCACTAAACATTCAAGAGTCATACAAACTCAAGGATTATTGCAGCATCCTGTATGCAGAAATAATTACTATTGAAAAAGCAGCAAGGCTATTGCGAGGACAATGTGATGGGCATTGTCACCATATATGTGGATAGCAAAGCAGCGCTGAGGCTGCTAAAATCACATACAGTGAAATCAAAAATAGTGATGAACTGCCGGGAAGCGCTGTCCTGGATCAGCAACAGTAACGTCGAACTAAGCTGGATTCCTGAACATAGTAATATCGAAGGAACGAAATAGCAGATTATAGACTTTTTTTCACCCTTTCGAGGCCATGCTCTGCACTGAAGCTCATTGTTGCTTATTGTATATCATTTGATACTCTACTCCTTCCCATTTATACTAGAGTCTAAATGGTCGGCCTTATCATGCATCTCCCACCCTAAGATGGTCCGATTCGCAATCCATAGTCGGCCATTCAAACTCCACCGACATCACGCAAGCCTGAGAAATTCCTTCCACATCCTCTTGCCAGGCCAACAAGCCAGTTTAACACAACAAACAACCATGCCCTACCTAGCCGGGACTTGAACCCGGGACCCGCAGCACGCGAAGCAGATACACTAACCACCATACTGCCTAGATAGACTGGTAAAACTGGAAATGCTGGTAATGGAAAAGGACCAAACCGAGATAGACGACTTATCACAACCAACGATTAAACAGTTAAGGGATTTAGTAGACAAAAATATGACGCAGCTGCACGCTGCACAGCAGAAAATGGCGCAATGGCTGCGTAATATCACGAATCTATGGCCGTATGTGGATATAGAGAAAAACAGGAAATTAAGAAAACTGGATAAAAGATCCATGAGCACCTTAGTAGGGGCCAGTGTTGCCAACTGCTCTTTGCAAAATTACTGGCAAGGGATTCAACCTTTACTGGCAATTACTGGCAAATACAAAATGTCGAATTGAGGCCCTATATTTTTAGGCGATTTCAAGTCAGACACAAGTCTTGACTCCTTTTGTATTAACATTTTAAAATCAGAAATGATGACGTTAAGTTTCAAAACATTGGCTTAAGCATGGGCATCCCTCTCTAGTTACCAGAATTTGAATTTGTGTTCATCATATCCTGAAACTTCAAAAATTGTCATTCAAATCAGCATGAGCATGCTATAACGTGATCATTACATAATATAGGTATAAAGCGCTTTCTTTTTCCCATCGATCTATCCAACATTATCAGTCAGTTATTCCAAATTCCTACGTACTAGACAAAGATAAATTGCTCATCGGTGGATCCACCGGTGAAAACAAGAAATAATGCATTAGAAAAGTACTGAAATATGATGAAATATTTCAATTACTGGCATCAAGGCTTTACTGGCAAGGCGTTTTTTACTGGCAAATGCCAGTAATAACTGACAGATTGCCCCTGGTAGGGGCAATCATAGAACACTGTGAAGTCGAAACAATGCTCTATGAGAGGGGCCTCGGGACACCTTAACTATGTCAACAATGCTTTGAGGAGGAAGAAACAATGGAGCACCTACTATGTCACTGCCGAGCCCTGCAGTAGGAACGCCAATGTTTACTGGAGGACCTAAAAAACGCAGGAAAGATAAGGACAATGGAAAAACTGAACTTTGTAAGAACCATGCGCTGGGACAAAACAAAGAAAGGAAGGAGGAATAGGTTAAAGATTTAGGAGGGAATTACCCTGAAGAAGGGAACACAATGGGCCAATAGGCCTCCAAGTGTAAGCTCTACAGTTGTTAGGCAAACCCTTTGAAACCCAACCTAACCTTACCTTACCTTAATGAAAGTAACTGTTATTTTTAGTAACGAGACTTTAAATGGATCGGCGGAGTTCGTGACAATTTGATATCAGGAGTGAGATAATTATCAACACAATTGGTGACATTGGTGTATTGATTTGAGATATGTTAATAATGGCGAGGTGGTAACTATAGTGCATTATAGACCCTGAGATAGGGACTGTTTAGTGGAGTAATTTTCTATTTTGTCTGGCATTTTGAGGGCGGAATTTTTCGCGGAAAACTCGATTTCGAACTGTGACTATCGTCTGGCGATTTTCTAGCGTTATTTTCTCAACAAAACGTTTTATTCTCTCGATTGCCAGACAGAAAGTAAATGCGGAAGGTTCCATACTTTTCTCTTGCAAGTAGACACCCACTCCCACTTTTTAGCTTTTCGAAAAGCATCTGTTATTTTTTATGGGTGAATTATTTATCAATGTAAATCTTTCATTCAAAAGCCAGACAATTGAGATCATTAAAAAAATGCTTCATGTGAATGCATTTGTTTTCTTCTCCAAATTTTCGAACGGGGAGCAGGCATTAAAATCACCCATATTGTCATTAGCTAAGTATGCCACATTCAGCCCTCAAAATGCCAGACAAAAAAATGACTCCATTAAACAGTCACTATCTCACGGACTATTAGTTTCAGCTAATAATTAGGAATACCTAATATAATTAAAAAATTAATTTGTGCTAATTAGTGGGAACAATAGGTACCTATGTGAACTTTTGTTAAACTGAATCAGTGAATTTATTGATGAATTTGCCGCCGAAGAACCAGTTGAGGAACGAGTTTTCTGGGAAATTTCAGAACATTCTATAGTGCTCTGTTTAGTGTTTTGAACATAATAGTCACAGATCACCACATCATTTATCTGTCAGAAACATGGCTGAAACCGGAGGAGTAAACATTTATTAAACTGAAAGAATGCAACCTTTTGGCATCTCACTCTCAAACATGGCGGGGTATGCGTAATGTGAAGGATAGTGACAAAAATGTCCAAGAACTGAATGATTCTTAAACTAATTAGTAAAAAGAATAAGCTTTTAATTTTGTGCAAATTTTAAAAATTACAAAGTCATATGCTCGGTCATATGGGCAGGTGACTTCAACATCAATTTATCACCTGCAATAAGTAGTGATAGGAAAAAAAAAACTTTTAGACTTGTTACACTCGTCTAATTATGAAAAAAACTATCTTTAAAATAACTACACCTCGTTCCTAATGAAAAGTATCCTGAAGAAATATCCTGCATTGACCCGTTTTTTTTTTTCAAATTTCAGTAATATCAAAATAACAAAGTTATCCACACAGTAATTAGAGATCATCATTCCCAATCAATCAACATTAACCACTGTAACTGGGGACTGGGGATGACGCAGAAAACAAAACACAAGCAACCTGTAACTTAATAAAAAAAGTCACTGAGTCAAAAACAACAAAAAGTGACTCAATTTTACATGATTTCTAGTATCAGAGCGAGACTTTCTGAATGACGTTAATGACTTCTTTCTGAGTGTTTGCCCGGACATGATGCAAGGGACAGGTATTCCACCTATGGGGACGGATTTGACAAAAACTGTTAAGGAATGTAGAAATTGATCGATGGGATGGATATGGATCTGAGTGGAGATGAAAGAGAGAAATGGAGCATACTGACAGGTTGCAGGCTTGTCACGAGAATAAATAATCCCGATCTGATTTCAAAGACAGGCAGTGTTACAAATTGCCTACATTCAGAAATCCTTTCCCGTGTACATTGAATAAACAATAATTCACGAAAATTTTCCATGGAATTTCTAGGTTGATTGGAGGAGTATATCGGAGCACGTAATTTATAAATTGCAGTCAGTTTAAATAAAAGAATAATTGATGTGCTATAAATTTAGGTTGAAGCGATACCATTACCTTGTGATTAGTAAATTTTCTACAATCATTTGTATTGTCTAGTCGATTTACATTTGATAATTGTTTATCTGATTAAAAAAAAAATGTCAAAATTGTCGGTGATAGTGATAGTGAGCATTGTTTTGACAATTATTTATTATTTGACAGAACTGAATGAGGCTTTTTATACTATCAGCTGTTAACACTATTGATGAATCTTTGAAAAATATCGTAGTAGAGGTGTTACCTTGGTTTATCTCATGATGTAGATCTGTAAATGATGTGTTGGTTTTGAATTTAATAATTTTTTCATAAAGTAAAATTAAGGCGAATGCTAGATAATCGATCAACGATGAAGCAATTATAGTAGGTACTATAACTACACCCGAAGATGGACGACGATAACGCCGCTTAATTTTTGAAAATTATAAATTAGGTTGCAAACAGAGAAGGAAAATTAAAAAAATGCAAGTGATAAGTAGCTAGGAAAAGTTACACTTTTTTCCGAGATATTAATTTTAATTTGTGTGAATAAACTAAACTTTTTTTATACTACCTAACCTACCTACTCACTAAAAATGTTTAAAATTTTCTTACCGGTTGGGGTGATTCATCTTCTCTAGAAGCTGGTATGAAACCTCTTTGTGGTTGTGGAAATTGAGGAGCTGCTTCGCTGATGTGCCAATGACACATATTCATTATGAAGAAAAGTGTGAAAATTTTCAGATTTCTTAAATCCATAATAGTAAAAACTTTTTCCTATGAAAAAAAAAATCATGCAGTAAGTTTAACGAAAACACAAACTAACTTACCTTTGCAAAACCTACACACTTATTATTAAAATTTTTGTACTAATGAATTGAACTTCAACCTATGCACTTCACTCACTGAACATCTTTAAAATAACATTGAATAAACAAATTTCTCAGTTTAAATACCTTCTAGAAAGCACCATATTGGTTTGCAGATTTCGACAGAATTTTAAATTTTCTTAAAGGGAGTATGCACAAGGCCGTAACCAGATATAAAGATGAGGTATTGTTATAGCGTGTGCCTCCGCATTAGATTATTCAAAAAAAAATGAAGAAGAAATGCAACTGTACCTACTGCTTTTAAGGTGCCCATGAATGGAATCGCGTATGGTTTTGCATAATGAAAAAATACTTAACTGTTGTTTATCGGGAATTAGTAGAAAGCTTATTTGAAGGGGGTTTTATCACTTTTGAGAGTAGGTTAACATTTTTTATGCCATTAGGGTCAGTGTGGTGATAACTATTAGTATGTTTGGTGACGAAAATACTTTTACAAGTGACCATAACTTTTTTCAACATATCAGGCAAAGCAGATATATGGATACTATTAAAGGCCGATTTATACTAGATATAGGTCAAGTCACAGTATGATCACAATTCGGTCAAATCAAATATCATGGGATGTTTTTTAAACTACACTATTCACATTGTGAGTGTAATTTGACCTTGCCTTTCAATGTGAATAGTGTAATTTAGAACACATACCCTGATATTTGATTTGACTGTGATCGTACCCTGACCAGACCGAACTTTCCTCATCTTAGATTTAGTAATAGTCCCCAGTACATCGACCCTAAAATTTTGTAACTCATGTACACGCCAAACTTCCTGAGCGGCTTCATAACACCAAGTCGGACAATATTTTTCATATCTCCACCCTGGGCGATGGGACATTGCCGCGCTAGCTCTTCGTGAAGTTGTCGTTCTGACGTCCCTAAGGAAGTTGATACATGTACGTGTAGTTTCAATGCCAATCGACTGTTTTTTATATTACATTAACAATATCACATTTGTCGGACAAAAACCATGTGGCTTTGGGGAAGGTCCGACGCCCTTAACATGTCGCTGTGGCGTCCCTGAGGAAGTTGATACATGTACGTGTGGTTTTGATGCCAATCAACTGTTTTCTATGTTACATTATTGATATCACATAGGTCGGACAAAAATCACGTGGCTTTGGGGGGGTCCGACGCCCCCAAAATGTCGCTGTGGCGACCCTAAGGAAGTTGATACATGTATGTCCGACAAAAATAATTATGAATAACAATGTAATTTTAAAACATGTGTAGTAAATGTCGGACAAATAAAATCAGTATTAAAGTCAGTCGGACAACAATAGTCCTTTTGATCAATTTCTGCCGAAATTCAGAATCTTCACCCCTGAGATCGCACAAAAAACACGACTGAATATCCATTCTTTCTCACACGCGTGGTTTTGAATGACCGTTTACAGAATAATTTCCGTAAATACTCGGAGAACTATAAAAAAAACAGATCAGGGAATATGACACAGGGCCCCACAGGTATTTGTCAAAGTAGGTAAATAATAAACTGACTAATATGCACGTTGCGTTAAGGCAAACTAATTTCAACAACTACTCCATGTAGCTTAAGACTCGTAACAAATGTCCTTCCACATTAATCTAAGAATTTTAAATGTATCAATTATTCTTCCTGATAAGAATTTTGCAAATATGTCTACACATAAAGATTATGAATCTAAGTTCTTTAATGATCATTCCCAGTGGGACATGAGCGGAGAAATGTCAAAATTGATATCGTCATGGATTTTGGGTTCACCGAAAGCTCACTTTACAAATAGTAACAACTTTGGGTGGTGAATAATAAACTGACTAATATGCACGTTGCGTTAAGGCAAACTAATTTCAATTTTTTCATTGATTGTCTCAAATTTCTTGTCCGACAAATGTGATATCGTTAATGTAAGGTAAAAAACTGTCGATTGGTATTAAAAACACACGTACATGTATCAACTTCCTTAGGGACGCCACAGCGACATGTTGAGAGCGTCGGACTCCCCCGAAGCCACGTGCTTTTTGTCCGACATATATGATATCGTTAATGTAATACAAACAACAGTCGATTGGCATTAAAACTACACGTACATGTATCAACTTCCTTAGGGACGCCACAGCGACATGTTGGGGGTGTCGGACCTTCCCCAAAGCCACATGGTTTTTGTCCGACAAATGTGATATCGTTAATGTATTGTAAAAAACAGTCGATTGGCATTGAAACTACACGTACATGTATCAACTTCCTTAGGGACGTCAGAACGACAACTTCACGAAGAGCTAGCGCAGCAATGTCCCATCGCCCAGGGTGGAGACATGAAAATTATTGTCCGACTTGGTGTTATGAAGCCGCTCAGGAAGTTGGGCGTGTACATGAGTTACAAAATTTTAAGGTCGATGTACTGGGGACTATAAATTGTTCCAAGTTTCCTTCGTTTTGTTTGTTGGTAATTTCGTAATTTTCGAAAGTTCAATTCTTTCCATAATTTCATGGTCCGCATTTTGAATAATTTAATGAAATAATAAGTCCCTATTGTCACTAGACATAAAGATCAAAATCGGGCGAATTCGCTTTTGGAATAAATACATCTATGGAATGTTAAAAATTTTCTTGGTTTTTTTTTAGATTAATTTTTAATTTAATATAATATGGTAAAAGTTTACCAGTAGAGTGAATTTGAGCAATAATAATTATCGGATATTGGATAATGTAATTAACTTAAGCTTGACAGTGCGCGAAAATTTGAATCGTAGGTATAAAAGTAAAAATCCCTTGATGTTCCAAAATTCTAGATTCTCCTTCATGGTACAAAACTACCAAAAAAAGTAACAGAGTGTAAGTGAACAGAGAAGAAACACGCTGCTTTTGGCTTTTCTCTAAAAAGTTCGACAAACTTCCTTAACCGTCATATTTTTTAGAGACCATCGACTAATGTCCTTGAAACTAGGAGTATGGGGCTCATATGAGTGAGAAAAGTAGGGGCCACGAAGCGGGGACCATTGCAGTTCCTCCATTTTTCTGGCAAAACCTGGAATTGGGTCAGTTGGTACAATTGTCTCCATGCTGAGTGGAATTTGCACGAGAAGCAAAGTGTTCGGGCCCAGCAAATCGTACACGAGAGTCACTGGCTTCAGCAGAGGGCATTTCTTGATACCTAGTTTGTCTGATGCCACCTCCACAATGTCTTTGATTGGAGATCAAAAATGTGTTAATCTCTGTCCTGGGATAACGATGACTGTACCGCACTCGGGGGTAACCAAGAATGTCTATTGGAGATCGAGGCAAGATAAAGTCCAGTAAATATGGGAAGGGATGTCCGCGAGGACACTAAGTGACCTGGTAAGTCCGCAAGGGAAGCGTCTATTAGAGAATGAAGGGGATTATCCGTTCGAGGAGTAGGCACAGAGTGCGACGAATGTGTCGGTGGAAGTGATGCACGAAACGACGCACGAGATTGAGAATTATGATTGCTTTGGAGTGACTGGGATGCAAAATTATTGTTGGGCCCAGATTTCAATTAACAATGCGATATCGGATTAGGCGCTTTCGGTGAAATTTGCGATTCCCATTCGAGAAATAAAACGGTCGCTTCGAATAGACCGATATCGGATTACTTGCCAACTCTTAGCAGGTGGAATGCTCGCTTTCAACATGAAATTCACAATATTGACATATGTTTTGTGTTTTTTCTCTCTACTTTGACTCAAATTTATTTTTCAATATGAAAAGTCCCGGAAAGTCCTAAACTTGCTGGTTTAGTTCAATAAAATCAGGGATAGAGTTTTGGTACATCAAATCAATCGTTTATTTCTTGTAGACAATTGTGAATAATATTGGAAGCATTTGTGGCGTTTCAATTGAGCAATCCAATGACGTCATTGAGTAACCCACTACCAGCGGCTAAAAACAGGCGAAAACAGGCTCTAACTCCGCGACCATTTTTCTGAATGCAAACCCACAGACTGACAGCTGACAGATAGGCCTGTCACCCACTGTCGCTGCAGCAGCTGATCGCGAATGATACATATTGTACTGTTCTGATTTTCGTTTCAATGTTGTAAAAATAAAAGTTAATAAAATCTATCTGCGTCCTGCGTCTAATTATACAGCGAGTTTTTGTGAACATTCTATATGGTAAAACCCATAATTGGTGACCCCAACGTCCGCGAGTTCGTGAGTTTTGTTTAGTGTACGTTCTCATCTGGCCCGAAAACATAAGAAAATGTGGACCAGCTCTTTGCTTACGAGCCCGGCAAATACAGCGCTCATTGTCGCGCCACAACAGCTTACTGCAAGAACGGTACAATAACCGCCCACCTAGAATCCATGCAAAGCTTGCAAGCTGCCGGCCTTTTGGAGGGCAAACCCAGAGGTATGGTTTCATCAAGTTGAATCGTTCACAGAGTAAGGTCAGACGAGTCAAAATACCACATGGTCGTAGCGAAACTGGACACAGGCTCCTTACAGGAGGTTTTAGACGTCATAAGAAACCCACCAAGTAATGGCAAGTACGACCACGTTAAATCACAGATTCTATCCAGATTTTCGGAGACTGCTGAGCAGCAATTACACAAACTGCTCATAAAACTAGATTTAGAGGCGATAGAAAGCCCTCCCAACTATTGAGGCAGATGAGAACCTTGGCGCGGAATAGAGTTTCTGAAGAAGTGCTCAGAGTAAAATGGCTCGACCTCCTGCAGATTGGAGTACAGAGGCCTCTTGAAATTTTTAAGAAGATGCCACTTGACGGGCTGGCAATGGCAGCAGATAAACTCATGGATGACGCTGGTGTTGACCCCAATGTTATGGAAACAACAAGTGACCCCGTCAATATCACTCTCAGAACACTGTTATGTTTCCTTCACAAGTAGCACTAATCACAACAGAGCTGACCGGAATACGTGCCTCACTGGCAGAACTCACCTCAATTAATCGAGATGTTGTAGATCTCCTAATAGCCACTGCTGCTCATAGTGGTGGCCATGCTGCATCAAGGCGTAACAACTCTTGTGGACGCTCACTTTCTTGTGCACAAACAAATAGCAATGGAACCTGTTCTTACCA